TATAACAATGTTTTTAGCAGAAATTACCCTATTCATAGATCTATCTACTCCCGACTTGGATTGCGCTCCCGGTAATTATTCACCGCAACCTATATGTGATATTTGGGGTTACACTTTCTAGTAAAAGTACAGATTCTAGTACTTTTGCTAGGTTTATTCGGGATTCGAACCCACACCCTCAGAGTCAGGCACCTAATAGCCAGCACACAAAGCCGCCTAACCCGCTCATCCACCGTGACTTCCACATCCCGGACGGGACTCAACCAAACAAAAGTACTAGAATCTCTGATGCTTTACTAAGAAGTGTAATCCCAAATATAACATAGGTTACATTTGACCACTTTCTAAATGGCACTATATTATCAATTATTCACCGTATCTTTAGCATTGGCGGTATTCCCCTACTCCCTGGGATATCCGGAAATATATCGCGATAGGATATCTACTCCCTGGGATATCGCGGCACGACAGCGATGAGTCAGTGAGTGAGTCGAGTTTACGCCGCACTCAGCAATATTCCAGCTATATGAGCCCCATCGAATCCCGGATGGGGCTCAACCTCAAAAGTACTAGAATTTGTACTTTTACTAAGAAAGTGTAATCCCAAATATAACACATGTTACATTTGACCACTTTCTAAAATGGCATTGTGTAATCATATATGACGGCGGTCTGTAAATAATCGGGTCTGGACCAGGTAATCCAGTGATCAACAGCATGAGCATCGATCTGCGCAAATGTGAACCGATGATATGTGTCAACCAAGTCAGCGAGCCTGACCAACCGATCCCATTAGTCGCCTCTTACGACAAGCATGGGTTACTGAAGGCCAATATTCTAACCCGGACCTTCACGGGTGACGACAGCGATGAGAACAGGTATGACACACATACACTCTGCTGCAGTGATTGAAGCTCGGAAACTACGTCTCGCCCTCGGTGGATGATGAAGACCGGTTATCCTCTAGCCTTCATATTTTGTATTTACTTCTACTGGGTTGATGCAACTGTTGGTGGGCTGACGTCCCTCTTATGTCCATCTGAATCGGTGTATCAGTTGGATACTGGAGACAGGTTATTGTCTGGTGTTGGCTTAAATTATCTGTTTTGTTTTTATTTGACGTCTGGACCAACCTTTGAAAATGTTAAATTACTACGCCCGTATATGGCAAAGATAGCTTTCTGACCATTTTAATGTTTGGACATATATGTTTTACCTATAGTGTTATGTAATTTCTTGATGTAATAACTTATTAGACTTGAAGCGGATGATAAAGGTGACCTGGATCATTAGGAGCCACGATATCTTAACAGTTTCTTGATTCACTGCTAGTTTCTACCGTATTGCTGACAGGCATTAAAGAACGTTCAGTCATCCCATCACTTGTTCTCGGAAATACTTACATGAAAACCAGAAGAGGTCGACGTGTCAGGCCAACAACGTGTACACTGCTTCCATAATCTGAAAGGTGAGAGTCAAATGTCTGAAAATATTTAGGTAGTGTCTGGTATGGAAAACACTTTGCACTGTTCACCAGTGGACGTAAATAGACTGGACTGACTGAGTTTGGTTTTACGCCGTTTTAGCAATATTCCAGCCACATCACGGCGGGCAACACAAGGAATGGGCTTCACACATTGTACCCATGTGGGCATTCTGAACCCGGGTCTTCGGCGTGACGGGCCAACGCTTTAACCATTAGGGTTACCCCACCGCCCCGGACGTAAATAGAATTTGTTTTGGGACTAGATAATAATCACGATATATTTCATATATAAATTATTATGTATATGACATGCGCACTATTCTCCAGCAAATCGAATCATTCATTATATTGTTCTCATTAATATTTTATCTGTTTCCTTGCAAATACAAGAAAACCTAACCACAACCAAAACAAATCTCTGCTGCAATCTGTATCTGATTTACGATTCTGAATATATCATAAGTATAGCGGGCGGATGTTCTATCTGTTACCCTTTAAAATATAACGTAACGACTTTACTAACATCACAAATTTTCCCTATCAAGTTTAAAGCAAACGAAGTAATTGATGTGAAAGTATATATGTTAACATGCAATGCATAAAACAATTGGTCGTCATCTGCAACGGACCGAAATGTATATTACAAATTGAACAATGTAGACGTTTAACACAAAAATACTGCAATACATCGTATCTTACTACACGTACCCCTTATAATTTTATCTTCATATATGTGTCACATGTCACCCATTCAATCTTTTGACGTTAGGACAGGGCTCTCTTTTCCAGCAATTATATATATCCCAGCAAAGTACAGCATTCTCTTATCGAGAACATACTACTAGAATTGCCTTACGAGCACCCCTACTAAGGCTGTTTATTACCTACCCTCGATGATGACTCACTACAGACGTATCAAAGAACAGGGTCTTCTTTAACTGTGTTAGTTTTGTATGTATACATTAAACGTTGAAAACTCCAATAAGAACAAAATAATTCGCAATACAGTTTGAAAGCACACAAACCTTTTCCAGACAGTCATTGTTTGCATTCAGTTCCATGAGTTGCTGTTCTGTCTTCTGATGATCTACAAGATAAAAGATAACAGGTTTCACAGGATTACATAAGATCCGTTGATGGAGAGAAAGAGAGAGAGAGAGAGAGAGAGAGAGAGAGAGAGAGAGAGAAAGGGAGGGAGAGAGAAAGTGAGAGAGAAAAGAGTGAGAGAGAGAAAGAGGGAGAGAAAGAAAGTGAGGGAGAGAAAGAAATTGAGAGAGAAAGAAAGTGAGGAAGAGAGAGAGTGAGAGAGAGAGAGCGTGGAAGAGAGAGAACGTGAGGGAGAGAGCCTGAGAGAGAGAGAGAGAGCCTGAGAGAGAAACTTTAGGAAGTGAGTGAGTTCGGTTAAGTACAGGTACACACGTACAAACATGCACACACTCCCTCTCCCTCTCCCGCACACGCACATTATCACACACACACACACACACACACACATACACTTTTACGTGCACGCACACACACATACACAACGACACATACTAACATACACAGGGAAAAGCTGAGGAAGAATATTTAATGTCTGTTTCACTACAAACGCTCATATGCCAAAGACACTCCAAGTGTGGCCATTGGTTCTATCCCATTAAGACTACGCCCCAGAATGACTACATCCCAACTTGACTGCAGTAGAAATACACAGCCTTATTAGGTACCCTATGTACTAATGGAATCGTCAAACTAGTGACTATTGGTTTAATGAGTTACACGTAAATTTACTGTTTTAACTGATGCCAGATCGTCGCCGAGAGAGAGAGAGAGAGAGAGAGAGAGAGAGAGAGAGAGAGAGAGAGAGAGAGAGAGAGAGAGAGAGAGAGAGAGAGAGAGAGAGAGAGAGAGAGAAAGAGAGAGAGTGACTATTGGTTTAATGAGTTACATTGAGTAGCCATCCTGTTTATACTAGAATTTTGCTGTTTTGCCTGAAGCCAGATCGTCGCCGTGCAAACCTTCAGGCGCCTGTTTCAAAAGCTGAATATGTTAAATATTATATTTTATGTCCGTTTCATTACACACACGTTCACGCGTCAAGGCGCCAAAGGAGTGGCCATTTACTGGCAAACAAGGATAAGTTGGATCGTCGCAGAGAACGCGTTTACGAGAAGTAGGCGGTGCACGGCAATGAGCAAACCCATTTGGCTAGTGCACGTGCAGCGCATGACGATGAAATTGTTTCGCGCCACTGTCGAACTCGGAGTTCGCTGACAGGCCACGCGCTTCACCCATCGCACTACACTTTGATCGCGGACAACCTGGGTCCCCTTCGCTCACAATGGCAAGCCCCAGCGGGCGGCACTCATACATGCTAATACGGGTCAATTGTCAGGTCGGCGCTCAACTTATCCTTGTTTGCCCGTGGTTATTCTCGTAAGGACATTTTCAGTAGTAGGTCAAAAATAGAAAAGGGATATGAATTATTCCATATATCTTAGTCCCTGCTATTTACCTTCATTGTAATGGCACACAGGTGTTTCTCTGTCAGTCGACCCTGCTGGAATTGTCTGAGCTGGTTCATCAGACCTGGAGCTCTTGTGTGTGTCTTTGTTCTGCTAATTGCAGACAAAAACAAAAAGATGTATTTAGGGTCACATACTTATCAAACTCGTGTAATTGTCAGAAAGCACACTGGGTATGTTGCAAATTTCCTGATGTACGAAAACTTTAGTTGGATATACTATATTGATGGGCAAAAGAAACTTTCTGTTGCAAAATCTTTTTATAAGATTAACATAAGAAAATATAATTAAATGCCAATTGCCCGATTGTTATTGCCAACAACACGAGTTCGATTTTGACGAACAGCAGCGCTCAAACGCACTTCTTGACAACTTTGCATAGTAAGGGTAAAATGCACGTTCATGCATGGTATAAAACCACCTCACAGTAAAGAGCAGGTCGTACCCTCAGCAGTATACCACTTTACAATGCCGAGGTTAACTTCAGCAGAGCGAGAGGGGCCATCAGAATGCTGCAAATGGGCGCTAAAATGTGTCACCAATAACAGTACAGCAAATGACGCAAGCCCTTGTCGAAGAGTGGAGGCGTATCCCAGCTGACGTCATCAGACGCCTTACAACTTTAGTCAGAAGACGTGTGTTTGCATGTATTCTAGCCAAAGGTGGACGTGCTCGCTATTAGAGACCTGTGTTCACGCTTTGCTGTGTTTCTCGAATGGGCCCACTGATAAGTGAATTCTCTAGTTTGACCCCTTGTCGACCATAACCTGTTCAATATGTTATCAGCCCTGTTAAAAATCGAACGTTTGTAATTTCTTTAGCACGTGCCCATGTCATTGCTTCACAAATTATAACTTGCAAACTTCAATTTCTTCTTCTTGTTTTTAGTGAGATCAAATTGAACGAGGAGAAAGTTTCTTTGTCCGTTAGTATATATTAAGATAGCTTTATGGAGTTGCTGCTAGAGTAGCTGAATGTACTAGTGCGACAGGCTGATGATTTACCTCCATCATTCGCGTTAAGCAGATTGTGATGCTGTTGAACGGGAGATCTGTATGAAAAGACACTATTTAAATAGAGTAGACAAGTAACAGTATTTATTTGTTGTCAGAGGTTTTAAATGTTTCATTCGATATTTTGCAGCCTTTGCTTAACAAAGCCTTTAAACGACCTGGAGCAAGTTCCTTGGAACATTTCCAAACAGGAATCAACAGAGGGATCGTTTAGGTGTTTATTTTACACTTTCGTCCACTTACATACTGTGGTTATCTAACAATACTGCATAGACATGATTACACAGGATCACGGGGCAGGTGTACATCCATCTCTATTGACTACTATTAAGTGTGTGTATTTCTACCCAGTTGATACAGGAGAAACATGGTAATGATGTTAATGGAGTAGACTGGCATGATCTAAGAGTCAACTGGATTCTGAAGTAATTGTAAGATTAATCCTGATAGAGCTTCCAACATCAGCAGGGAGTTTCTGCTGGAGGTGGATAGGCTTGGAGCTATATTTCGTTTCATGTTCTGATCATAATATACACTACTACAAAGGAATGATATTCCTTGGAACCAGTCAATCTATGACAAGAACGTATGTTAATCTCACTGAGACTTGATAATGTAGTGTATATACAGAAACAAGCTTGTTATACTTACGTGAAGTCTTTGCTCTTTCCCTTTCGAAGTCCCCGTCTGTTTCCCAGCCCCACCACGACCTGGTGTGGATACTGCTGCTGTTCCTGGCACTCCAGTTGCAAGTCCAGGGATGGTTGATTCATGCCTGTCTGGTGTACTCTGAAACTGTTGTTAAAAACTTTAGACGAGTGTGTACCTGCTTTCAAATTATCCTGGGGAAACAGTTGTAATGTTCATGTCACGATTATCACACTCACGAGCTTGCTCTTTTGTCAAATGACTAAATATACACACTTTAATATTTTCAGAAAAATAGTAATATTGTAATAACATTTTCCGCTGCAATTGGTAATGATGAGGAAAAACACAATGTAAAACATAACCATGGAGACATCTCACTGTAGGCTATACTCACGACTCCAAACCTTGGTATCTCCATGTCTAACAACGATAAGACGGCCGTGTGTCTCGCCAAGTACCCCATCACAGCCTGCCACTCCACTGATGAACAAAATTGTGTTATACATCATATGCTGATACATTGCGTAATATACCAGTAGTAGTAGGAGAAGCAGTTGTTGTAGAAATAGCGTTTTTGTACAGAGCATGAGAATACAAGTTTGTTAAATGCATAACAATTTCAGGAAACCGATTACATACCCGTGTATAATTCGTGGATTTGTTTTTTCTATGGTCCCTGTCCTGAAACAAAAGTGCCAGTAAGACAATATGTCTGTCTACTATCAAGGGATGTCAGGATCTTTACAATTACATAATGCTTATTAATGTTTTCATGCATACATTATGCATTCCTTTGTTCGTTAATCTGTAGTAATAAGCAGTTACACAGTTAAATCTGTTATAAATGTTATGATAAATATGATGTGAAAAGTTACCTTCAGACAACTGTTCAGATCTTGATTAAGCTTTTCGATCTCGCTTCTACCTGCAGACAGATATAGACTATTGGTATATTTTGCATTTTCAAGGCAACCTTTCAATACGTCGTAGAATTTATACACTGCATCGAAAGTTGCAGACACGTTACAACATAAAGCAGTTTGTTACAAAAGTGAAATATTGCAACACAGTCTTTTTCTTAACACATTCAATACAATAATGTTTACTCATTGTACTATTTGTGCACTGACTAAAACTATATACACCGGACAAACAGAATTTACCTCAAGTAACCTCATCTGCAGGTACTTACGACTCTCCAGATCTTTTGCATCTGTGTTCTGCACCTCAGTTTCCAAATCATTTATCTGGCCTCCTTCCTTCCGTACAGACTGAAATATATACAATAATGTGATCTGTGACTGGTTCTGTATTCTGCGGTATTAGTTAATATGACAGCTTTCTATAATTCGTATCTTGACAGACTACAGTTAAAGATAACATAATCTTTCATAAATAAATAGGAATCAAAACATAATATTAAATATAAAATGAAGGTCGTTAGGCTGCAACCCCACTAGGAAGGTAAGGTTCTAGTAAGGTACGTACTGGGATCTCAGATTCCTTTCTTGCATTCTCTGGCTCAATGTGGAACATCTCTAGAACAAAACAAAGATGGTGTTGAAACTTCATTCGTGTTTGAGAGAAAGTGAATTAAGAGCAAGGTACTGCTATGATAAATCCATTTGGAATCCTGCTCCTAAGAAACACAAACCCAACTTGCCACTTACCCATATGTTGTTGAATGTCTGGACTTTCAACGTGGCCAATCTAGAAAAGAAATGAAAGGTTACCTCCCTTGATCTTGAAGTAATACGTGGAATCCCATGCAACCGATTACGACAACTGGCACAACAAATCTCGAAATTTGGTAATTTAATCTTAAGAATACCCCGAGGGCTATACTATTGTGTGTCGCAACTTACCATCGCAACTATATGTTTTGAACCTGTAGATTCTGCATGTTTCTTTATCCCCAAAGCTAAAACATCAAAAGTACAAACAGAAAATACAATTAAGACTCAGATATTGTGAAAATATTTTACAGCTGCTGTATTACACACTGCTTTGAAATATATCAATATTTGAACTCTCATTTCCTTCGGTACATGTACAATATATAATAGGTAGATATATAACTAGATACATACATGGGGAAAGGAAAGATGAAGGGCAGGTGCACGAAGATGACAGAGACAGAATGAGAGATGGTTAACATGGAGGTGAGGCACAGAATGGGAGTAGTTGGAAACGGATAAAGAGAAGAAAAAGCACACGTATACTAGAAAACTGAAGCGTGGATGAAGAACTGAATGAAGAGATGAAGGTTAGATAAAGTTAAAGTGTCATAAGAGATACTATACGTTGGATTGATGGACAAGATAAAAAGAGTGGAAGTTGGACAGATGAAATGACAGAGGGACAGTATGATGAGTATTTTGTGTTATCAACACAACAAACCTTCTCTCAAGAGAACATTTTTAACGTCTTGATAGAACTGATCCGTTTTCTCTTGGATTATGACCTGAAACCAAATACATAGATTACTCACACTGGGTCTTTCATCATCAGGCCTTGATGTCAGTCACTACTTTGTTTGCGATTCATACACAAGCTCTCTACAATTTCTTACCGATCTGAGAAGTGGGGCAATATTTTTCCTTTGTCTTAGTCCGTCATGTAACTCTGACAACCAAGCCTCTTGTGTAACAGACAGTTGCTTGAAACCACCCAAAGCTGAAATGAATAAAAAGTAAATAAATAACAAATTATCACATACATCTAAAATAATCGTTCCAGATGTGACTACAGCTACTCACATGCATACTGAACTTTGCTTGCTGTGAGGGAGACTTGACTTGTATTCAGAGTATGGCGCACTTCTTGAGCCTGCAATGTGTCAGAGTGGTATAAATACACAATCACTACTTGGTATACGTTATCACACAGACATATCTTTGTTAATATGTGTTGCGTTATGCCCATGTCTTGGAACAGAGTTGTAAATGTAGAGTAACAATGTACAGTAAGCTGCGTTTATGACCAACACGTTTAGAACGAATTAAACGGGTATAATGAACACCTTTACAACGAACTAACAGGTATAACGAACTTAGGGATGTAATGAACAAACTGGGTACAACGAACTGATTCGGTGGTTCCGGATGTTTTACTCGAAATACGGACAGAAATTACAGACTGAACGAACTAAAATAACTGGTCCCTTTAAGTTCTTTATAACTGTAGGTTATTGTAAATGAACACGATTTGTTCCCACCACCTCTTAAAGATGACACCCGTAAACAAAACAACATACGGTTATATGTACAATATAACAAAGCCATAAAATGTCAACACATCAAAGGGAACTTACGGACATAGGTCCTGTTGAACCCAGCTTGAAACTAAGTATTTTCCAGCACACTGAAAGTCCCTGAGGAGTTCTTCAATCCGTTCCTTCCAGGATTCTGAAATGTTGTTAAAATAGAAGTATAATAATCATCACCCTAAACTAACTCATGCATGCATAATTTGTACTAAAAGTCTTACTATTATATTTGTTGAGTTTGTTATTTCCACAAGATCCGTTATTCATATCACCATAAGATGCCGAATGAAAGACACTTACCATCAGATAATGCATCTATTTGTTTCTCCATCCCTTCGATTTCCTTTAAAAAATAGAATAAATGTAAGCTGTTTATAATAGATAACTCAAGATCTGGAACAATACTATGCTAAAACTTTACATTGAGGGAACCTTTTAACCTTGCATTCAATCCAATTCCACAGCCATGTGACAAAACGTTCGATTTCCTGATAGCGAGTAGCTCTTTGGGATGGAATTGACATTGCTCAACAGAACTCTGGTTTGGATGGAAGCTAACATGTGGATTAGTGATCGTGAAGGTGAATCTCTGGGTGGAACCACATCAACCATTCCTGGCCCATATGCAAACTCATGAAAGAATATTTGTACATATGTGTTTAATTGTTTGTGTTGTAAGAAACATCTCTAAACCCTGACATGAGGGGATCTCACATCATTACAGAAGTATACGTTACCATTTCTGCGTCAAATATTTGGGACTTCAGTTCCTTGATACCAGTTAGATCTGAAGTGAAGAAAAGTCAAGTCTTCAACAAACTAAAATGATTGTTTACATCACCAGTACATAACCATTACATGTTAATCCAGTGCTGTTTGTTCTCGTTCTCTCCCCGCGTCTATCAAAATTTCTCCTTTCTGACCTGACACGGTAGTGTGTGTAACAAAGAAAGTCTTGTATTTTATTACAAATGTACTGAGCATTGTGTGTATTCTAGAGTTCTACGAGATGTGTAAGGAAGTATACTCACAGGTTTTAGACCGCCAATTGTGGCCGCTTGATTGTTCCATGACTGTGTTGGTTTCATCGACTATTTCTGTCTCAGTAGTTGGGACTTCCCCAGTTCTTTTACAGCAGTTGGATCTGAAGTGAAGAAAGTCCAAGTCTTCAACAAACTGAAATGTTTATTTACTTTTTCAAAATGATTGTTTTGCATCACCAGTACATAAGAACTACTGTGGATATTCTAACCCAGTGCTGTTTTGCTCCACGAATTCTCTCTCGCATCTATAAAAGACATACTTTATGACCTGACATGGTAGTGTGTTGTAACAAAGAAACAGTCTTGTATTTTATTACAATGTACTGAGCATTGTATATTCAGTGTACTTCAATATGTAAAATATACTTTCAGGTTGTAAACCGCCAATTGTGGCCGCCGCTTGTTTGTTCCATGACTGTGTTGGTTTCATCGACTATATTCACACAAGAAGACATGTCCACCATGCACGAGATCCTCTGCTGCTACAGCTGATGGATACACCGACCTGAAACCAGGTTTGTATAAAACTTAAGCACAGGTTTCAAGTAATCATTCAAATAATGGGGCAGCATATTAATGTAGAGGCTTTTCCTGAGGACGCACTTACGAAATTCATATTTTGGCTTAGAACATTTGATAATTCGTGATTGGATACAACTGCCAATGTTGCCAATGGCAATAACACCTAACTACATCCACTGACAAAATTAACAACAAACCTGGAGCCTGTCCTCTCCTGTCGTGACCTACATACAAGCAGAAAGTGTCCCCAGTCTGCTCAGTCTCCCTGGCCACCTCCAGCATCAGAGTCGTGGCTCCACTACTGGGCATACACTTGACTCCTCGACGTCCTTAATGTTGATGTTCTCCACCAGAATGATAGCATTTGTTGCTTTGGTGAGAAATCTCAGATAATGATCGCCATCAATTATCCCCACTTTCGCGGCGCTTCTGCAGCACCGACTTTGCTTCATGCTGTAACACTCAGCCCAGAAGCGGTAGTGAGGACTCTCTCGGTTAACTGCACAAGGAGTCATTAACAAAGAATCGCTTTGTGACACAATGGAGAAGACTCCATGTACCCAACTAGCTGAAATCGATTCTTAAATCCAACAGCGTCCCGGCGAGAGAAATGTAAAGATGACTCCATTGATTGAGTTGATATCCCTCATCAGTGAACCTTGCCAAAAGTGTCTCTATCACTCCTCCGCCACTGACATATCAGTATGTCCACCGTTTCCTGGTGACGATCTTCATCCCCAGCATCCAGCAATAGAAAGCGACAAAGACTGTGTAGGCCGTGAACGTATGGTTTAAACGCTGGGACCGCCGCCTTCTTGCTCGGGAAGGCTGTGGCAGAAAATCTATCCCAACTGCTAAAGAATGGCATAAGAACATAAAGCATAACCCAGCCTTTGGGTTTGGGAGATCTACTACTTCAAAGTTGGTGAGGGACTAAAAACAAAAGTCGTACGTACGATTTTCATGTGTTCAATGATTCGTTGTTTCACCGGTGCCAAAGAAGTCCCTAGCCTTGTTGGCAATATCAGGCCAGCCATCTGAAGCAAAACCCCAAATTATACATCCTCGATGAGAAGTATGTTCGTTAAGCAGCCATAGAATGGTCCTGTACAAATTTTGTATCACTGCTTGGACACGAGAGTATAACAGAAAAGAATTGTAATGGTATAGGAATTCTTCAATTGGAGCTAAGCTAGCCAAGATATGGGAAGCTGATGGTAATTGTGTCTTTGGAGGGTAATGGGAAGCTCCTTTTGGGGTGCAATACGTCTAAGATAATCAGAATATCTGGATTCAAATCCATTTGCAACATGAGCAAGACATTGCTACATGATTTTATGGCTTCGCTTCTTCAACTATTGAAGACAAATCCTTGTATTCCACGTCCAACGATCTGGCCAAGCTTTTATAATGGCTTAGTTACTCCTTCTCAACAAAGTATCTTCTGAGTTTCAAAGAGATCGTTTCCAATCTGTTTCCAGGTCAGGACGAAAGATGTCATTTGTCCCAAGATAAAAAGATCCTGCTCATCCCTCACCTCTATATAGTATTTTGCTGCAACAAAGTAAGGTTATGCATGTTAAAGGCAAGGGGAAACAGTATTATTGATGACCGAGGACGTTCAGCTTAGCTTTCATCGCTTTTGGGGAAACATTAATGGACTTGTGATTGTCTTTTTGTTGTAAGATATAAGATGGTGTTTGCCTTTAGCAACTTTATAGATAAAACTTGTACCTGATATATAGCTGCTGTTAAAGCTATGTTCAAATACATATAAAAGATTTTGTGCAAATGCTTCAAAGGAAGTAGGCATGGAAGCTTTACATGACATGGTGTGAATCTCGAAATGCCTATGCATGTGGCTATTCTAGCCCAAGATGCAAACTCATGAAAAACCCCTTTGTACTTGTCTAAAGGCGAAACCACCACTATATACATTTTAGGCGTTAGCCAACACAGTAATAGAGATCTATAGAGATAATGAAATAAATACATGTAAAACTGTTTACATGTGGTAAGAAGCATCCTGTAAACCCTGACGCAGAACTAATCATTTACAGAAGTGTACATTACCATTTCTGCCTCCAGTAGTTGGAACTTCAGTTCTTTTACAGCAGATTTGGATCTACAGAGTAGAAGAAAAGTCAAGTCGCTCAACAAACTGGAAATGTTTGTTGCACACAAAAATGATTGTTTTGCATCACCAGTAGAGCTTCCTGCGGACAACAGTGCTGTTTGCTCCCGCATCTATAAAAGACATGCTGACCTGACATGGTAGTGTGTACCAAAGAAACAGTCTTGTATTTTATTACAATGTGCTGAGCATTGGCATATTCAGAGAACTCAATATGTAAATATGCTTACAGGTTGTAAACGTAATTGTGGCAGCTTGTTTCGTTCCATGACTGTGTTGGTTTCATCGACTATATTCACGAGGTGCGCCATACACCATGCAGAGATCCTCTGCTGCTACGGCACAGTGGTACACCGACCTGAAACCAGGTTTGTATAAAACTTAAGCACAGGTTTCAAGTAATCATTTATTCAAATAGACCGGACATTAAAGTAGAGGCTTTTTTCCTGAGGGCCAGCACTTACGAAATTCATATTTTGGCTTAGAACTTTTGATAATTCGTGATTGGATACAACTGCCAATGGCAATGGCAATAACACCTAACTGCATCCACTATTCAGTGTGACCTGAGCCTGTCCACTCTCACAACCAACATTCCCCGTACCGGCAGAGTGTCCCCAGTCTGTTCGGTCTCCTGGCCTCAGCATCAGAGTCGTAGCTCACCGGGCATACCTTGACCTCGACGTCCTTACTGTTGATGTTCTCCACCAGAATGATACATTGTTCTTTGGTGAAATCTCAGATAGTCGCCATCAGTGTCTCCTCACCTTTCCTTGCCGGCTGTTTCAAGCAACACCAGCCCCAGAAAGCAGTGAGGACTTTCTCAGCACCTACTTGAGTCATTACCAAAGAATCGCTGTGACAAAATGAGAAGACTCATTTGCCAGCTTCTTCAATCGATTCTTAAATCCGCCGGCGTCCCCAAGGAGAAATGTGAATGACTCCATGGATTGAGTTGATATCTCATCAGTGAACCTGCTAAGTGTCTCTATCCTCCCTCTCGCCACTGACATACTGTGTCACTGCTTCAGGACAGTCTTCATCCCCATCAACCAGTGACAAAACCTGCTGGGCTACAATGGCAAGCAGAGCCAGGAATACATCATAAATGTTTCTTGGTCGGGGCGATGTGTAGAAATCATAACGCAACTGCTAAAAGAATGAGATAAGAACATAAAGCATGGTCCAGCCTTTGGGTTTAGGAGATCTACCTACTTCGTTGGTGGGGATCAAAAACAAGTCCGTATCATGATTTCTATGTGTTCCATGAGTCGTTGTTCACTGGCGCTAAAGTCTCAGTTTGTTGGTGCAATCACGCTGGCCATCTGAAACAAAACTTGATGCTCGCCTGAATGAAACATGACGGTGCATAGGAAGTAGATTACCTTTGTGTCTGCTTGGTTTACGAGAGTATAACAGAAAGAAAGAATTGCTTGTAATGGTGTATGGTGCTGGCGGGCCCAAACTTAGAATATGGAAGCTGAATGTAATTGTGTCTGCTGGAGTTGCTGAGGGAAGCTGGGGTGCAATACGTCTAAAGATAATCCAGAATATCTGATTCAAAATCCATTGCAACATGAGCAAGGCATTGCTACATGATTTATGGTTCTTCAACTATTGAAGACAATCCCAGAGTCTAAGTCAACGATCTGAGTTTACAATGGGCTTGTTACCCTTCTCAAACAAAACATCGTTTCCAGGGCTTGTTTCCAATCTGTTTCAGGTCAGGACGAGAAAGATGTCATTTATTGAATAAAGATCTATATTCTCTATCACTAGGTATTTTACTTTGGCACAGTGAAGTTATAAAATAAAGAAACAGAGGGAAACAGTATTATTGATGACCGAGACGTTCAACAGCTTTTCATCGCTTTAAGGAAACATTAATGGACTTGTGATTGTCTTTTATTTATGAATATAAGATGGTGTTTGCCTTTATGGCACATAGATAAAACTTGTACCAAATATATATGCTGGTAAACTATGTTCAAATACATATAAAGATTTTGTTAAATGCTTCAAAAGTAGACATGGAAGCTTTTACATGACATGGTGTGAATCTAAATACCTATGCATGTGGCTATTCCTGACCAGATGCAAACTCATGAAAAATAGCACAGCGTCACCAAGGCTTTGAAACCACCATATATACATTTTAGGCGTTGCCAAATATAATAGAGATAATGAAATATAAATCAATACATAAAACTGTTTACATGTGGTAAGAAGCATCTGTAAACCCTGACAGAACTAATATTTACAGAGGCCATTACCATTCTGCCTCCAGTAGTTGGAACTTCAGTTCTTTTACGGCAGATTTGGATAAGTAGAAGAGGTCAGTCGCTGGCTGGCTGAAATGTTTGCACAATGTGAACGACATGTAGAGCTTCCTGCGGACAACAGTGCTGTTTGCTCCCGCATCTATAAAAGACATGCTGACCTGACATGGTAGTGTGTACCAAAGAAACAGTCTTGTATTTTATTACAATGTGCTGAGCATTGGCATATTCAGAGAACTTCAATATGTAAAATATACTTACGGATAAGCCGCCCAATGACCCTTGTTTGTTCCATGTTGTGTTGGTTTGTCGACTATATTATTCACACAAGAAGACATGTCCTGCTGAGATCCTCTGCTGCTACAGCTGATGGGTACACCGACCTCAGGTTTGTATAAAACTTAAGCACAGGTTTCAAGTAATCATTCAAATAATGGGGCATATTAAGTAGAGGCTTTCCTGAGGACGCGCACAGAAATTCATATTTTGGCAGAACTTTTGATAATTCGTGATTGGATCACAACTGCCAATGTTGTGCCAATGGCAATAACACCTAACTTCCTCACTGACTAAATTAACAAACCTGAGCCTGTCCCTCCTGTCGTGATGCAAAGTGTCCCCAGTCTATTTCGATCTCTGGCCTCCAGCATCAGGGTCGTAAGCTCCACTACGAACTTACTTCCCGGCCTCGACGTCCTTACTGTTGATGTTCTCCGCAGGCAAATCCACATTATTGTTCTTTGGTGAGAAATCTCAGATAGTCGCCATCAGTGTCTCCACTTTTTCTGCTTTCAGCACCGACTTCGTTTCAGCAGCACCAGCCCAGAAAGCAGTGAGGACTTTCTGCGGGGTGTGCAAGAATGCTTTGTGACAAATGAGAGAAGACTCATGCCAGCTTCTTCAATCGTGCTTGTCCAGCAAAGTATCAAAGGAGAGAAATGTGAATGACTCCATGGATTGAGTTGATGAACCTGCTAAGTGTCTCTATCACTCCTCTCACCACTGACATACTGTATGTCTCACTGCTTCAGGACAGTCTTCATCCCCATCAACCAGTGACAAAACTATCACAGACTGTGGCAGGAATACATCACATACCGTGTTTCTTGGTCGGGGCGATGTGTAGAAATCTAACGCAACTTTCTTTAAAGAATGAGATAAGAACATAAAGCATGTGAGGTCCAGCCTTTGGGTTTGGGAGATCTACTACTTCGTTGGTGAGGGGATCAAAAACAAAGTCGTATGCATGATTTTCTATGTGTTCCGCGGTGGTGGCACCACTTGCGCTAAGGGGTCCTCAGTTTTGTTGGTGCAATACCATGACCATCTGAAACTAAAACCCCAAATTATATACATCTCGATGAAATGTGTTCGTTACACATAGAGCCGTTACATGCTGTGACACTGCTTGGACACGGTATAACAGAAAAAATTGTAATGGGACAGGGTGCTGCTTGGGCAGCCAGATATGAAGCTGATGTAATTGTGTCTTTGGAGGGTACTGGGGAAACGCACGAGTTGTGCATTACAAGAACAAATCGAGAATATCTGATTCAAATCCATTGCAACATGAGCAGACATTGCTACATGATTTATGGTTTTGCTTCAACTATTGAAGACAATCCCAGAGTCTACGTCAACGATCTACTAAGTTTTACAATGGCTTAGTTACCCTTCTCAATGAAAGTATCTTCTGATTTCCAAAGAATTTGTTTCCAAATCTATTTCAGGTCAGGACAAAGAAAGATGTCATTTGTCCCAAGATAAAGATCCTGCTCATCTATCCTCTATGGTATTTTGCCTTACTGCTTTTAGTAGGGATGCCGCCATTTAAAGAGCGAGAGGAAACAGTATTAGTGATGACCGGACGTTCAACTGGCTTTCATCGCTTTAGGGAAACATTAATGGACTTGTGATTGTCTTTATTTGCATAGATATAAGATGGTGTTTGCCTTGTGCTTTATGACCGAGCTTGTTGCCAAATATATGTAGCGGTATGTTAGCCGCAAGGGCTGTTTAGTAACGAAAAGAAGTGAGCAGGCTTTGCATGAATCTCATTTCTGTTGGTGAGCTCAAAACCTTTGTACCCATCCCCTAAAGGGGGCGAATGCCACTTTCATATACATTTGAAAACGATTATGACTCTGTCGAGATAATGAAATAAATATTAGTGTAAACTGTTTATGTGTTAAAGCATCTGTAAACCCTGACATGAGAACTCATCATTACAGAGGTGCGCATGCAGCTGCTCGGTTGGGCTGGGTTCACTGCGTGATTCTGGATCTAGATATGAAATTTCCAAGTCTTCCAACAAACTGAAATGTTTGTTGCACTGGCCGTTGTTTCACTGGTGCGGAACTACTGTGGATATTCTAACCCGGTGCTGTTTGCTCCGTTCTCTCTCGCATCTATAAAAGACTATGCTTTTGGGCTGACGCGTATTCTGCGAAAGTGATGTATGTTTGCCCGACTATTACTGAGCATTATTGTCAGAGCTTCCAACCAATAATGAAATATACTTACAGGTTGTAAACCGCCAATTGTAACCGCTTGTTTGTTCCATGACTGTGTTGGTTTCATCGACTATATTCACACAAGAAGACATGTCCACCATACTGAGATCCTCTGCTGCTACAGCTGATGGGTACACCGACCTAAAACAGGTTTGCGCTGAAACTTGGCTGAACAATTTCTGGAGATGAAACCGATAATATTAGTGAGGCTTTTACGGACGCGCCGCATTTATATTTTATTACTTTTTGATAATTCGTGAACGGTTACAGCTGCCATCTTTGCTTGTGGCGTAACACTAACCGTCACATTCAAATTAACAAACCTGGAGCCTGTCCCTCTCGCAATAAGTGACCTACATACAAGCAGAGTGTCCCCAGTCTGTTCGATCTCCTATTACCTCAGCATCAAGAGTCATGAAAGCTCCACTACCGGGCATACACTTGACCTCGACGTCCTTACTGTTGATGTTCTCCACCAGAATGATACATTGTTCTTTGGTGAAATCTCAGATAGTCGCCATCGAGTGTCTCCACTTTCTGCTTTCAGCACCGACTTCGTTTCAACAACACCAGCCCAGAAAGCAGTGGGGCTTTCCTCTATATACCACCGCAGAATTAAATTGCCAAAAGTCTTTGTTAGTGAAGGCTGTTTAAACCTTCAATCGTTTGCTTGATACAGGAAATGGCGAACGGCTCGCGGGTTGGGTTGATAAATGTCGCAAGTGTTGGACACGCTGGTAGTATATGCTCCCTCTCGCCACTGACATGCACCAGCATGTCACTGCTTCAGGATGATCTTCATCCCCATCAACCAGTGACAAAACTATCACAGACTGTGTAGGCGAAACCAGGAATACATCACATACCGTGTTTCTGGTCGGAGGCGATGTGTAGTAGAAATCTAACGCCAACTGCTAAAGTAGATGAGCATGAAGCACTGATTCCGAAGCGCTGGGTTTGAGTCTCGCTGTTTGGTAGGGGGATCAAGGCAGAATGGTACTTCTGGGGCCCTCTATGTCGTTCCGTGATTCATTTGTTTCCTTCTGGCCTTCAAGGGAGGTTATAAAGTTTGTTGCGATTTTGCTCACGTGACAGCATCTGAAACCAAAACTGGTGTACATCTCCATTGGTATGGTTGGTTACAGGTAATTCTCGTTTTAACGTGCTGCTTTGGACGCGGTATGACGAAGAATTGCCATTATTTGGGAATTCTTCCGCAGGCGTGAATAGCTGGGCTTCGCGATGTAATTGTGTCTTTGGGAGGAATTTTGGGGGAAGCCTTTGAGGTACGTAAAGGTGAATGATGAATATGCGGGTTCGATAGGTACGGCATGAGGCGGGCGTTGCTACGTTTATGGTTCTTCAACTAATGAAGACAATCCGGAGTGCAATCAACGATCTACTCGAAGTTTTACAATGGCAGTTACCCTTCTCAACAAAGTATCTTCTGATTTCGAGACTGTTTCCAATCTGTTCAGATCAGGACGAAGATGTCATTTGTCCCAAGATAAGATCCTGCTCATCCTCCTCTATGGTATTTTGCTGCAACATAAAGTAAAAGGTTATACATGTTAAAGAAACAGGGAAACAGTATTATTGATGACCGAGACGTTCGCTAACTCATCAGCTTTGAAACGTGTGAACGTTGTGTTTGTTTGTGATATAAAGAGTCGTTTGCTTTGCTTGGCACATGAACTTGCGCCAGCCATATAATAACTGGTAAACTATGTTCAAATACATATAAAAGATTTTGTGCAAATGCTTCAAAAGAAATGAACATGGAAGCTTTTTACATGACATGGTGTAGATCAAAATGCTGTGGCGTATTCACGGGTGAAGCTAAGCGGCTTTGCGCGTGCAAAGGCAGAAACCACTCTTGACGTGCGGCTCCTGTCCCGAGATAATGAAAATAAATATTAAACTGTTGTTTGTATATTGGTAAAACATCTGTAACCCTGACATGAGGGGCTCATCATTACAAAGTGTACAGCCTTCATGCCTCAATGGATTGGGACTTCAGTTCTTTTAGCAAAGTTGGATCTAAGAAGTGAAGAATTTCAGTCATTTTAAACTGACTGAAATGTTTGTTGCACAAGTAAGTGTTTTGCATCACCAGTACATAAGAACTACTGTGGATATTCTAACCCAATTAACTGTTTGCTCCCGTTCTCTCCCGCATCTATAAAAGACATACTTATGACCCTGGCATGGTGTAGCAAAAGAAACAGTCTTGTATTTTATTACAATGTACTGAGCATTGTGGCAGAGCTGAGAACTTTGTCTGATATACGGGTTTGTAACCGCCAATTGTGGCCCTTGTTTGTTCCATGAAACTGTGTTGGTTTCATCGACTATATTCACACACAAGAAGACATGTCCACCATACTGAGATCCTCTGCTACAGCTGATGGGTACACCGACCTGAAACCAAGGTTTGTATAAACGAAAGCACAGGTTTCAAGTAATCATTCAAATAATGGGGCATATTAAAGTAGAGGCTTTTCTGAGGACGCACTTGAAATTCATATTTTTGGCTTAGAACTTTTGATAATTCGTGATTGGATGCAGCTGCCAATGTTGCCAATGGCAATAACACCTAGCATCCACTGACTAAATTAACAAACCTGAGCCTGTCCCTCACCAATAGGTGACCTACATACAAGCAGAGTGTCAGTCGTTCCGATATGCATTTTACCTCCGGCATCGGTGGCTCCGCTGCCGGGGCGCCTTGTCGACGTGTACTGTTGATGTTCTCACCGAGTGACATTGCTGCGGTGTCTGAATGAAATAAGCCATCAGTGTCTCCACTTTCTGCTTTCAGCGCAGGCTTTGAACAACCCAACACCAGCCCAAAGCGAGACTTTCGCGCAGGTGTGCCGAAAGGTCGCTGGTGAGAGGCTGTGGCTGTCAATCGATTCTTAAATCCAACAGCGTCCTCAAGGAGAAATGTGAATGACTCCATGGATTGAGTTGATATCTCATCAGTGAACCTGCTAAGGGTGTCTCTATCACTCCTCTCGCCACTGACATACTGTATGTCACTGCTTCGGAACAGTCTTCATCCCCCATCAACCGGTGACAAAACTGCACAGACTGTGTAGGCAGAGCCAGAATACATCACATACCGTGTTTTGGTCGGGGCGACAATGAAATCTAACCTGGCTGCTAAAGAATGAATAAGAACGCCAGCATGGTCCAGCCTTTGGGTTTAAGGAGATCACTACTTCTGGGTGGTGATTCAAAAAGCGAGTCGTACCTGTTGCATGAGTCGTTGTTTGCGCGCTTCAGAGTTCTCGGTTTGTTTGGTTGTGCTGGCTGTCTCGAAGCAGGCCCGAAGTGCCGTATAATTGAAAGTATGTTCGTTACACGCCGGGAATGGGTCCTGTGCCAATTTTGTGACACTGCTTGGACACGAGTATGAAAAAGAATTGTAATGGGATAGAATTCTTCACTTGGGCAGAAGCTGAGTCTGAGCTGATGTATTGTCACGGTGCGGGAAGCCTTTTGGGGTGCAATGCGATCACAAGATAATCAGAATATCTGATTCAAATCCATTTGCAACATAGGCAAGATGCTACGCAGTTGCTCGTTTACTTCAATAATAGAAGACAAAATCAAAGTCTAAAATCAACGATCTACCTAAAGTTTACAATAAACGTTGCGCTATGGCATAGTATACTGATTTCAGGGTGTTTCAATCTGAACGATTCGGGACGAAGATATCGTGCCTCCACGGGCAAGTCTGTCTCCATATGTTGTATAAAGTAAAGGTTATACATGTTAAAAGGAAACAGGGGAAACAGTATTATTGATGACCGAGACGTTCAGCAGCTTTTCATCGCTTTAGGAAACATTAATGAACTGTGATTGTCTTTTATTTTATGAATATAAGATGGTGTTTACTTTTAGCAACTTTATAGATAAAACTGTACCAAATATATATGCTGGTAAACTATGTTCCCAAATACGCCATGAAAATTTTGTTAAATCAACGAAAGTAGACATGGAAGCTTTTACATGACATGGTGTGAATCTCCAAATACTGCATGGCTATTCTGACCAGATCTCATGAAAACCTTTATTGCGCGTGCAAAGGCGAAACCACCACTTTCATATACATTTGAGAAAGCGATTGCCGACTCTATGCAGGAGTGAAATAAATATTGTAAACTGTTTGTAATGTTAAAGCATCTGTAAACCCTGGCGAGGGCTCATCATTAAGTGTACATTACCATTTCTGCCTCCAGTAGTTGCTTCAGTTCTGGCACACGGCAGTTGGATCTGAAGTGAAGAAGAAAGTCAAGTCTTCAACAAACTGAAATGTTTGTGCACACAAAATATGGTGTTTTATCACCAGTACATAGAGCTACTGTGGATATTCTAACCCAGTTAACTGTTTGCTCCGTTCTCTCTCGCATCTATAAAAGACATGCTTTTATGACCTGACATGGTAGTGTGTTAACAAAGAAACAGTCTTGTATTTTATTACAATGTGCGCGGTGCATTCAGAATACTTCCAAAATAATAAATATGCTTACAGGCTGTAAACCGCCAATTGTATTCCTTGTTTTGTTTCCATAACTGTGTTGGTTTCATCGGTATGTTCACAGAACATATCCACCATACTGAGAGATCCTCTGCTGCTGCAAGCGGTGGGTACACCGATGAACCAGGTTTTGTATAAAACTTAAGCACAGGTTTCAAGTAATCATTCAAATAATGGGGCATATTAAAATAGGGGCTTTTTCCTGAGGACATTGCCTTACGAAATTCATATTTTGGCTTAGAACTTTTGATAATTCGTGATTGGATACAACTGCCAATGTTGTCAATGGCAATAAACACCTAACTGCATCCACTGACTAAATTAACAAACGAGCCTGTCCCTCTGTCGGCGACCTACATACAAGCAGAGTGTCCCCCAGTCTGTTCAAGATCTCCTGGCCACCTCCAGCATTCCCGAGTCCAGCAGCTATGCGAACACATGACCTCGACGTCCTTACTGGTATTCACCAGAATGATACATTTGTTCTTTGGTGAAATCTCCGAATCAGTCATATCAGTGTGTCTCCAGCACCGACTTCGTTAATGGCACTAAACTGACAGTGGGGACTTTCTCTTCTACTGGTGTGCAAAGAATCCTTTGGCAAATGAGAAGACTCATTTGCCAGCTTCTTCCGTCAGTTGTAAATCCAACAGCGTCCTCAAGAAGGAGAGAAATGTGAATGACTCCATGGATTGAGTTGATATCCTCATCAGTGAACCTGCTAAGTGTCTCATACTCTCTCTTTTAGCATACTGTATGTCACTGCTTCCAGGACAGTCTTCATCCTTCATTGCGTGGTAAAGTATGTCACAGGCTGGCCAAAGGCAGAGCCAGGAATACATCACATATACCGTGTTTCTTGGTCGGGGCGATGTGTAGAAATCTAACGCAACTGCTAAAGAATGAGATAAGAATATAAAGCATGGTCAGCCTTTGGGTTTTGGGAGATCTACTACTTCGTTGGAGAGGGATCAAAACAAAGTCGTATGCATGATTTTCTATGTGTTCCATGAGTCGTTGTTTCACTTGCGCTAAGGGGGTCCTCAGTTTTGTTGGTGCAATACTGTGGCCATCTGAAAAAAAACAACCAAATTATACATCTCGATGAAAGTATGTTCGTTACACACATAGAATGGTCCTGTGCCAATTTTGTGACACCTGCTTGGACACAGGTATAGCAGAAAGAGTGTAATGGGATAGAATTCTTCATGGGCAAGCCCAGATATGGAAGCTGATGTAATTGTGTCTTTGGAGGGTACTGGGGAAGCCTTTTTGGGTGCAGTACGTCTAAGATAATCAGAATATCTGATTCAGATCCATTTTACAACATGAGCAAGACATTGCTACATGATTTATGGTTTTGCTTCAACCATTGAAGACAATCCCAGAGTCTACGTCAACGATCTACTAAGTTTTACAATGGTCTATAGTTACCCTTTTTGAAAAAGTAACTTCTGATTTCAAAGAGACTATTTCCAATCTGTTTCAGGTCAGGACAAAGATGTCATTTGTCCCAAGATAAAGATCCTGCTCATCCTCCCCTCTCTATGGTATTTTTTGCTGCAACATAAAGTAAAAGGTTATACATGTTAAAAGGAAACAGAGGGAAACAATGATATTATTGATGACCGAGACGTTCAACAGCTTTCAGTTCTTCAGGGAAACATTGATGGACTTGTGATTGTCACTTACTGATGGATTATGAGATATGGTGTTTGTTTTGAACAGCTTAATGAAACAATCATTGTACCGATTATATAATGCACTTACCAGGCTTCCACATCCTGCCTGCAATAATGAAAAGAAGACGACATTCACAATATTGTAAAAATAAATTCCACCAACCAATTGCTATAAGGTACGTTCTCAGTAAGGATTACTCGAATATAACATTGTTAGATTATGTAGTGAGACACCAATTCATTCACCTTTTCGCAAACACACTGACGTCATCTGTAACTGATACTGATTCATAAACACATGCTGATGATAAAGTCGGACACATACAGCTTTTGTCGGAGATTTCTTAATGATAACCACGCAAGGGGTTTTGACATTTTACTTTTATAAAAGTTGATATGTTGTCAGTGTGTGTAGACGTATTTCAATCTTGGATTTGTAAACATTATCAAAGGACCAAATCTGGTTTATATATTAACGTATGATAACAGATGATGAATATAGTTATGTGAGAATATGCATTATATCGAGGAAAGATGTATAAAGGAAACAAACATACAATTAGACCCAATTATTACCACCAAATCTTCAATAAAGTCTGGAAGGCAGTCTTCGAAGTCTCTTTCTAGATGTTTATTTCTGTCCCTTATGCATTACAACTGCACGATAACATACAATACAAGCCATAATTCAAAATAAATTTGATTAACAATAACTCGTAATTACATTTAGAAATCCAGAAGATGTAGTGCAGAATCTCGGTGGACCCAGGAGCATGTCTAGCAATTTGTGGATTGTATCAGTTGATAATTTCGTACATACAGGGTTCTACATAAAGCTATCGCCGGACATCACGGTTATAAGCCAGCTTTTATAGAAATTATGTCCAGCGAAGCTCACGCTTGTAAACCATGTTTTATGGAACTTATGTCCATTTGAGACCTCACTACTTAGCCTTAATGTACAACCATCTATGGAAACTGATTTACTTCTAGTAATTTTAAGCATAATAATTTATTATTTCTTATGTACAAAGTTGCTGACGCCTTCCTGTGTACATGTGTACACATTTTAATTTTTCTTTTATCATTTCATTTCCCAAGTCTCACACAAAATACATATGGCAAAGAGGACAACATCCAAAATGTATATGTATATAGCTTCAGTGATGTTTTGCAAGGTATGGGTATCGTACTGAGGTGGTGACTTCCACCCCTACCTCCCTTTAAAATCATCAACACCCCTAATAGCCATAAATCATGAACGGTCCCTTACCTCCCTTAGAAGTAGACTTGTAATAAGTAATATCGTTCAGGTTAAAGCATCCGTTTCATGTATATTCTGCGGTACTTGTGGATGGTACCCACGTATTGCCAAAAAGGTGAGTATATCCTTCCCTCAAGCGGCTTTTGTCATCTCTGTCTA